TCGGAATTCTTGTGTTGATGGATCATAGATACTGACCTGAAGAGGACAAACCAGTGTCCTGTATGCAGGCTGGACGCCTGGGTTCCCTCCCTAGTCAGACCTGCTGCTCCAGACTCAGTTTCTTCTCCCAAACCAGGCTTTAGAACAAGCCTTTCCTCCCGAAACAAAGAGGGAGAAAGGACAGAGAAGGGGCGAAAGTGGAGGGGGAGCATGAAAGGGGATGGGAGAAAGGTAGGGGGAAAGAACGTACCCGAATACGTTAAATGAGCTTACATCTGGAGCAGACGAGAATGAAAGCAGATGGACCGAGTACAGGAAGGGAGAGTCAGGGCTGGGTAGTGGGTGGGAGGGGAGCTCCGGCCTGAGTGGGGGAGACGGGCTGAGGGCGCCCGCCGCTAGGGAGAGGAGGCGGGCAGGGAGGGGCCGATGGGGCTGACGGTAGAGAAAAGTCTATTTTAGTTTTAATCCGAACTTGACGGTGTGGATTGAACTGGAGTGAATTCAAAGCACGAGCGAAGAAGTGAGGGGGGATAACAGGGTAGGGGAGACGACATCTCTCTTGCCTGTCTGTCTGTCTGTCGGTCTCCCAGCGCTGGCGTGGTCGCAGCTGCCTAGGCCGGCGTGGGTGGGGGAGTGGTAAGGAATCAAGTCTCCTCCTTCTCCAAGACCTCCACCGATCTGGGGGTGTACATCATATGCCTGGAGAGGAATTATTGGGGGAGAGAGACCCCTAGGTAGAAGAGGGGAGGCCGAGGAACTAAAATTAAAAACAAAACAAACTGGTGAATGTTTTCCTCTCCTTGCCTGGGGATTCTCCGTGGCCTCGGATTCATCTAGCTGTATGCAGTGTCTGTCCTCTCCAGATCTCACTCAGCGCGAAACTGAAAGGAAGGGTGGGGGGCGTAGAATCTGGCAGGAAATTCGAATAACTAAGCACAAGCCAGGAAAAATGACCTAGTCTTTTTAAGCAATCCTCTCCCCTTCTTCTTCTCTGCTCCCCTGGCTCCCTAAGGCTAGCTGGTTTCTGAAGAAGAATCTCTGTCCCATCTCCCTGGCCTTCCACCCCAAAACATGGGACCTCAGAGGTTAGAGGCGGGCAGTAAAAATCAATGAGAACTTGCTGGAAGAAAGAGGCATCATTGGAGAGGTTCTCTGAGACAAAACTTGGACTCATTAGGTTTGCACCCTACCCCTCCTTCCAGTACTCAAAGAGACATCTCTCTCAGCAGAGACTTTAAGGAGCTAAATATGCCATTTTAAAACTGAGGTGTGGGTGGTGGTGGGAGTCCGTCTCCTCCACTTGGATCGAAGTGGAGGAGGAAGTGCTCAAGTTAAAGCCCCCAAAGAAGGAGGCGAAAATCCCCTCTCAGTTTCATGGGGGATTTAGCTCTTGAAGAAATCCGGAGGCCAGAAGAGAAGTCAGGGGACTTGGACTGTCATGGAATAATTAGAGGAGTCAGGAGATCGGAAGACAGCTGTATGAAGTTGAAAAGGGATAGGGGGTGGCTAGAGGGGCAAGAGGGAAGAAGGAGACAATTTATAGAAAAAAATTCTATTTCAGGGAGATTCTACCCCCTTATAACATCCCCCCAGTAGAGAAGAAAGCTTCAGGGTATTCTTTTTCCTTGCGAAAAACCCTGAGGGAAGGGTATCAGTAAGTCTGAGACTGAGGGCTGAGGTAGACTCGACTTGAGGCTGACTGGGATGCAGGAGTGGGTGGGAATGGGGTTTGGCGGAGGTGGTGTTGAATTTTCTCCTTTTCTCCATATTCTTCATGAATAGAAAGTGGGTTAGACCCTAGCTGACCTCCCCAGGCTTCCAGGAGAGGTATATTTGATTCACTTGCTCCCCACTTCTCAATTTGGTTTGCAGTAGTGGCTCAGACAAGAGCAGGGCACCCCTCGGACTGAGCAGAGAGGAAGCCCCCTATCCGCCGTTCCCTCCTTTGTGTCCTTCCATCCGGATGGAATTATACGCCCTGCATCCGGGGAGGGGGCCGGGCTGGGCCGGGCGGCCAACAAGCCAGGTCCCTGCCGGCTGCGGGGCTGGACATGCCTGTCTGCACAATGGCATTTTTCCTCCGAGCAGCTCTTCCGCTACTCTAGCCCATCCTTCTCTCCTCCTCCCTTTTTCTTCTCCAGGCTCTGCTCTTCCCTGTTTCCCTTCTTTCCTTTCTTCCTCTCATTCTCTTTCCCCTTTTCCTCTCTTACTTCATCCTATCTATTTTTTCCTCCTTTCCTTCTCCCCTTTCTTCCTTCCCTCTTCTCTTTTCCTCCCTCTTTATTCCCGCCTATGTCTCTGAATCTGTCCCTCAGGCCGCCCCCCTCTCTGTGACTGCTTCCTAGTTCCCCCATTGTAAAGGACATTTTCATATCCCATTGCTGTCACCACTCTCGGGACAGAGCCAGGGCTGTCGACCTGCTCCCCACCGAGGCTGGGGACAATCGCCAGGGCGAAGTTGCTGGCTAGCATGGAATTTTGAGGAAGCCGCTGCCTAAGGGGCCAGGATCTGGTCTTTTCCTTGAACTAGCCGGTGGATATTTTTGATTGACAGCTAAACACCACACTCCATCAAGGCCAAAGGGATATTTCTATTTCTTGCTGAGATTTTTCCGATTCTCCACCCCACCCCCCAACGCCACTCTCCTACTGAGATTCATTTCTATCCACCCCACTAGAAGGGAAAGGGAACGAGAGCCGAGAGATCGCGGCTCGAACTGAGGGACTCGGCCGCATGACCAGTGTGAGAGCTCATTCTAACCCCCCTTGCGTCGAAAATCAAGCCCCGCTCCACCGAAATTGAGAACTCCTCGGAACTGAGGGGAAGTTGGAGGAAAGAGGAAGAGTGGCAGAGAGTAGGCCTAGAGACCTGGGGTTCATTCTAAGGTCTTCTCTTCCCTTTTTTCTTTGTCCCCGCTAACTTTCTTGTTCCCCCCAACACTCTCTTTTCCCCTTCTCTCTCCTCTCCTCCTCCTTCACTCATCCTCTTCCTTCCTCTCTCTCTCTCTCTCTCTCTCTGTCTCTCTGTCTCTGTTTCTGTCTCTGTCTCTGTCTCTGTCTGTCTGTCTCTCTTTCTCTCCCCTCCCTCCCTCTCTTCTTTTCCTTCCTTCCCTTTCCCCATTCTTCCTTCGTCTCCTGGACACATTTACCCTGTCATTCCCAACACAGAAGGGTCAACAAAAGGAAAATCATCCCCCTCCCTGTTTGGTTTTGTCCTGGGGGAGACAGAGGAGAGACAGGGTGAGATGTTACTCTGATTTGGGAATTCCACTTTCTCCATCGATGTTCAGAGACTCATCAAACTCAATCTCTTTTGCTCCCCTCCCCTCCCCCCCTCCAACAGATCCTGGGTCTCCTCCACCGTGACCCTGAAATGTTACCCTCCTTTCTCTCCTAAGTCGTTCTATATCATATTCTCTGAGCCAGACCCGATTTGCTCTTGGGGGCACTGCTCCAACCCCAGACTTCCCTCCCTTCCCCCTTCTTCCATCACTGGCTCCCCACACATCGAATTTTCTATGCTTGTCTAGATCTCCCCTTACCTATTTCTCTCTACAGGCAGACTGACAGAAAGACAGACACACCGACAGACACACAGAAGTAGCATGCAGAAGGGTCATAAAGTAGTGGAGATGAGCATCTAGTTCAAATCATAAGAGAAAGGGGAATGGGGAAAATCAACTTCTCCATTGGGTGTAAATAAAGTTGCCTACCTTTCCCACGCGACCATATTACCCCCTATCCTGGACTTCTGTTTATACCCCTTGAAGAAATTGCCTTCTCCCAACACAGCATTGCCTTTTTCTCGTTCCAAAAACAGCCTACACTTTTATTTAATGAAAGACACATTTATGAACAATCAAATGATCCTCATAAAAATTTTATTGACGGACGTAAAAACAAGCTACTTGCCGACGACCAAGGGCTCTCTCCTTCGTGTATCTCTCTGTTTTCCTGTGTGCAGACAGACAGAGTGACTTTTCTTGGGGAAGGGGGATGAGGGAGGTTGGGGAGAAAGAAAACAGAACAGAAATGCTGGATTAGGCGAATGCACTCAAGTTATGTGGGCTTCTTCTCCACTTCTTGAAGCTGGGAAAGAAAGATAGATACAGACAATAAATTAAAAATAAAGACTCCTGTTTATCTATGGCAAAGGCAAAGGATTTCCGAGGCTACACAATCAAGGTTGATATAGCTGGGTGTATAGTTTCTACCCCCCTCCATTGCTGTACCCCCTTCTCTCCTTTCTGCCACAGTTTTGGGGTGTGCAGCTCAGGCTAGGGAAAGACCCCCTTACTTCCTGTCCCATCTCACTGGGTCTCCTCACTCCTTCTTACAATGATGATAATATTGAAATAGACACAGATGCGTATGCTATTTTAAAAAGCATGTTTAAAACCCCACGTTAAGAACTGACAATCGCCTGATCTCTTCTCGCACACAGACTGCGGGAGCATTGGAGCCGACAGAGATAGATTACGTCAAGAAATAGTTCCTCAGTCTTACCTCTCCCATCTCCTCCCCCTTCAGGGCACCCCTATTCCCCGCCTGAAGTAGGGAAGGGATTGGGATGAACTGACTCGGGGGAGGTGGTGAAATTTTTTCACCTAGCTAAAATTATGGGGGGATAGGGCGTCTTAAGGGGTGGCCTTGAAGAAGTGGTGGGGTATCTCTAACGAGATGTGAGCTATCCTGAAGAAGAGAATGAGGTTGGGGAATCCCGTTATTTACAGAGCCCCCCCCCCAGTAAAACGCAGGTCCCGGGAATCAGCTGAGGGCGGGGGGTGGGTAGGAGAGGGGGGAAAAGCAGGGGAAAAAAGCCCCTGCGCATTGATCCGCGCCGTATTTTTGGGTAAATACGATCACGTGGGGGTCGAAGAGCCAATAGGATGCGGGGAAAAGGCTGGAAAAATAATTACCTGCCTTGATTGTTCTGTGAGCAGATAAAAAGTACATATACAGTTCATACAATAATCTTATGTATGTAAAACCCTCTAACGATGTCGGCGACGGGACCCATCAGTAACTATTACGTGGACTCCCTGATCAGCCACGAGAATGAAGATCTCCTAGCGTCCAGGTTCCCTGCCACTGGGGCTCACCCCGCAGCCGCCAGACCCACCGGCTTAGTACCGGACTGTAGCGATTTTCCGTCCTGTAGCTTTGCCCCAAAGCCGGCAGTGTTCACCACGTCCTGGGCTCCGGTCCACTCCCAGTCGTCTGTCGTCTACCACCCCTATACCCACCAGCCCCACCTTGGAGCGGACACGCGGTATATGCGGACTTGGCTGGAGCCCCTGTCCGGGGCCGTCTCCTTCCCCAGCTGGAAAGCTGGGGAGGGCAACTCCGCCCGTCCCCCGGGCCACAGTCCGCCCGGCGGCCCGGATAGGCATCGGGTTTGAGGGCGTAGTGGCGGCCCCCAGCTGGAAAGCTGGGGAAGGAGACGGCCCCGGACAGGGGCTCCAGCCAAGTCCGCGTAGAGGGCGCAATAAAAGCGAATTACCGTGGGGGGCTTTCAAGGACCGGAATGTCTAGGGAAATGTGGGGAGACAGACCAGGGGGAGTGTAGGAGAGTGGAAAAGGGGAAACTCCTCACTTGCTTTGGCTTTCATGAAAGTCCTTCCCTGACCATCACTTCCTTCCCACCCCAAGCTTTTTGGCTCCATCTTCACTTTCCAAGAAACAGAGGTAGAGCCAAAGATTGGGGCGAGGGCAAGGTTCATTTTCTAGTTTGAGGCAGAGAGGGGAAGAAGTGAGGAGGATGGACTGAGGTGAGAGGAAAACCCCCAAGGGAAAAAATTGAAGCCCCCTCCTACCTCAGTCACTCCTGGGTTCCCTTCTCCACATGAGGTTCATAAAACAAAAAATTGTGTTCACTTCC